CACCAATACCCAAAGATAAAAAAAGTCACATTGTATATCAAATACCGTGCAACGACTGTGACCCATTGTACATTGGACAGACTAGCCAACTGTTGAAGAACCGCATCAATTGCCATAAGTACGACAAAAAAAACAAAACAGCCATCAGCAGCCATATAACGGAGAAAACACATACTTTTAACTTCGATGACACAAAAATACTTGCTACCGAACCAAACACACAAAAAAGGGAAATAATTGAGATGATACATATACAAAGGAATAAAAACTCCATAAACGCGAAAACCGACATAAAACACCTGAGTGAAATCTATTTCGAATTGTTAAAGTAGACCATTTTAATGCTCAGATGCTCCACCGCGTATCAGTAGGTCTTAAACTTAACACAAACGTACACTCTAAAAAAATAAATAAATAAAAACTAAGAGGGGAAAAAAAAGACATCAGATACAATGAATATTTATTTTCCACTTCTATTTTTGATTCGTACGCCAAAGCAAGAACGTTATTGTTTTTGGCAATGATGTATGTTGTGGTACTTTTTCACAAACAGCGCTAATAATAGACATTTAAAAAAATAATAATAAATTTGTGAGTATGACTAATATATGTAATTTGTTTTTGTAATATTTGTAATTTTTAAATTCGTATATGTCTACTGTTTAAGATATTCTGTGTTAGACGTTTTATTTTTTGATAGCGAACTAATTCTTTGTATGATCTCGCTTTTTTTGTCCTTTGTTTTGCAGTTTTTGAGAAAGACCTGGGTCGGTCGAAACGTCAATGACAATTACAATTACAATGTGATGACACTATATTCCGGGATATCATCCGTTCGCTCGTTGAACTCCGACTGGAATCCTGCATCCGACTGGAATCCTGCAAATCCTGCATCCGACTGGAATCCTGCAGACGTTTCGCCAAAATCTCACTTGGCATCTTCAATGCTCGCGCTCCGAAAACACTTCGAACACTGGGAGGTTATCGGCGGTGCGTGCGGTATTTATACTCTGCGCCGGAGATGGTAACGGTGCTGCTTGTGCGTGGGGGGAGGTGGCTCCGCCCCCTAAATTGTCGCGTTGTTAATTTCGCCCGATCGTAGTTGCGATGTCCCCGTTGGCTGCTGCGCATCGCTCTGCTGTTTGATTATCGTTCTCCACGTGTTGGATAAATGCAGAGCGTCGTCTCTCGTATTGAGGTGTCCGGACTTTTCTATTTCGATGGCCTCTCGTATATATCCTAGTCCTAAAATCAGGAATATTAGCTATTTGTTTGCAAGTGCCGAAATCAATTTTATGGCCTGTCTGATGTTGGTGCTGAAACAAAGCAGATGTTGTTTGTTTGTTTCTTATGGCTAAACGATGTTCCTCGAGCCTGGCTGAAATCCTTCTGTTGGTCTGTCCCACATACGTCAGGCTGCACGATCCGCATGCTACACTGTATACTCCTTGGTTTTCCAGAGTAATTTTTTGTTTTGGGTTTCTTAGTATTGCTCCGATGGTATGGTCAGGTTTGTATGCCGTTGATATGTCGTGTTTCCGTAATATTCGGCCGATTTTGTCAGTAACCCCCTTGATGTATGGCAGGACAGCGATCGATCTTCGTTGGGTCTCGTCCCGCACTCTCTGCTGCGGCTGTTGTTTACTGATTGCCTTGCTGATGGTGCGCCTTTGGTATCCGTTTTGTCGAAGACAGGTACTAATTTTCTTCAGTTCTTTATCTCTGTTCCTCTCGTTTGTGAGCCTGAAGGACCGAGCAATTAATGTATTTGCCACTGCCTGTATCTGTGATGGGTGGTGATGAGATTTAGCGTTCAGATATCTATTAGTGTGTGTTGGTTTTCTATAGACAGTGTGTTCCAAGTGTCCATCTTCGGTCCTTGTGATGTGCACATCTAAAAAGGGCACACCGTTATCCTCTTCAAGTTCTACTGTAAATTGAATCCTTGGGTGAATGGAATTCAGATGACCTAGGAATTTCAAAAGCTCCTCCTTGGCAAAAGGCCATACAACAAATACGTCATCAACGTATCTTGTCCATAGTTTTGGCTTCAGATTTGCCTTCTCTATTGCTTTCTTTTCGAAGTAAATCATGAAGAGGTTGGCAATCACAGGTGAGAAAGATGATCCCATTGCTGCTCCATCTATTTCTCGGTAAATTTTCCCGTTGTGCATAAAGTAAGCGTTTTTCGGGCAATGTCTTGACAGATCCATTATGTATGGCGGAAGATCTTCGTTTTCTTCTATAAGCAAGAGTGCCTCTTCTACTGGAATACTCGGGTAGAGGGATTTGACATCGAAACTTGCCATAATGTCGTCCTTGTCCATCCTGAGAGAACCTAAAATCTGAGTGAAATGTTCTCTAAATGTTCTGAGTTTTTAACATAGAAATCTGCCTTTTCCCTATAGGCTGAAGTGCACTGGCCAGATGTTTTTCCAGCTTGCATAATGGTGAGTTAAAGGCGCTTACGATTGGACGCAGGGGAACCCCGTCCTTATGGATCTTTGGGAGCCCGTAGAATTTTGGGCAACGACTCGATTTTTCCCTCGGAATAAGTTTCTTCTTTGTATCCTCGTTTATTGATGAATCGAGAATTTTGGACTAAGTTGTTTTTTCCAAATATGTCGTGGGATCTCTGGTGACTAGTTTGTATATTGGGTCGTTCAAAATATCCTCCAATTTTGCATTATAATCCGACGTATTCATGACGACAGTGGCATTTCCTTTGTCTGCGGGCATTATTAGAATGTTTTCGTTTTTGTTTAGATTCCTTAAGGCTTAAGTTTGGTTGCGGTGGATTTGACTGTCTTAAGACTCTGGCGACATCTTGCCTAATTAACTCCGCATCTTGTTCGTCTATGGTGGAAAGACTTGCTTCGACGTTGGAAACGATCTCTTCGACGGGTACTCTTTTTGGAGCTATTGCATAGTTAAATCCTTTATTCAGTACGCTGACTTCTGTATCGGAAAGATGGTATGCTGAAATATTATGAACTGTACTGCTTCGGTTTGTATTTGGCACTTGTCCTGATTTTTTGGAATTTGACTGAAGGATTTCTAATTTCTTCCACAGTTTTTTTGACGTGATGTCCTTGTCTTTCTCAGTGCGCCATGATGTTAATAATTCTATGCGGTCCCACACCAGTCGGATGCAGGATTTGCAGGATTCCAGTCGGAGTTCAACGAGCGAACGGATGATATCCCGGAATATAGTGTCATCATATATATATATATATATATATATATATATATATATATATATATATATATATATATATATATATATATATATATATATATATATATATATATATATATGATGACACTATATTCCGGGATATCATCCGTTCGCTCGTTGAACTCCGACTGGAATCCTGCATCCGACTGGAATCCTGCAAATCTTGCATCCGACTGGAATCCTGCAGACGTTTCGCCAAAATCTCACTTGGCATCTTCAATGCTCGCGCTCCGAAAACACTTCGAACACTGAGTGTTCGAAGTGTTTTCGGAGCGCGAGCATTGAAGATGCCAAGTGAGATTTTGGCGAAACGTCTGCAGGATTCCAGTCGGATGCAAGATTTGCAGGATTCCAGTCGGATGCAGGATTCCAGTCGGAGTTCAACGAGCGAACGGATGATATCCCGGAATATAGTGTCATCACATTTTTCCATCCGTGAATCAATACGTGAGAATATATATATATATATATATATATATATATATATATATATATATATATATATATATATATATATATATATATATATATATATATATATATATATATATATATATATATATATATATCACGAATACATTTTTTCAAACTATTTTCTAAATTGCACATTCGTATATGTAAAATAATAAAGATCTAGTATTGTTGCTATAGCTCAAATCCCTAAGAAAGATCCTTACGGAACTGATTATTATATTATTGCTAAAAAGAACATTTTTGTTTCTTAAATTAAGTAAATTATAGTGTGCAACTCATTGGTGGTTGATCATTAAATGTACATTTGCCCCAATACTGGCTCTTACCTAAAAGGAGCGAAGATGCAACATGCATTTTTTTGCATTTTTTGTCTGTTTTGTACAAAACATGCTTTTTATTCCAATAAAACAATAAAATAGAGTATATTGATTTTATTGCCAAATAAAGACCCTGTCCGGCTCATTTCGACAGAATACGTGTTTATTAGTTTTTGCATTACCATGTGCCAGGCTTAGGTACTTTATTATTTTTATCCTGTAGTTGATAAAACAACTGGCTCATGTCGGATATTGCGCTTGGAATTTAGTCTATTATGTGTTCAATTTTATAAGGAAAATTGTCGAATACTCAATTACCACCACAACCAATAAAAACTCGTTGGGGAATTTAGAGAACTTACAATTAGTTTAAAAAATTATCGAAGTTACATCTTCTGCGGCTCTAATAAATGCAAGAACTTTTTTTTCTATCCCAAAAGTGAAAGGAAATTTAATATTTGTTAAAACCAATTATTCTTCTGTACTTATAGAGGCAGATTCAGTGGCTTTCATAAATCAATTCGAGATAGTGTCAGGTGCTCTTGGGGCTGCGGTTATGAAAAAATTTATTGCAGTTATTGAAAACAACACAGGCTTTAAAGTACGAAAAAATATTTCAAAAGTTTTAAAGATGATTAAAGATACAGGATATAATTTTCTTTTGTGAAATTTTGAAAATCATTTAGTTGTAAAACCTAAATATTTTACGAACATGGTGCGAAATAACATCACGTAAGTTGTCATAAGCCGTTAGCCATTGCAGTGGAGTAACAATTAAATTTGAAAAAAAGTGCAAAAACTCCCTATTGGCTATACAAAATCTGATACACTGTGGTATATGTATAGAGATCCTACGATACTAACTGCAACACAAAACCAAAATAATTAATAATTATTTTCAAATTTCTTTCTAGTTTCCAAAACTATTACTGTGAATTAATCGTGGTTTACATTTTGTCTTTCCTTTCCAGAGTGACAGTGTAGCATCGGAATCCGATTCACCTTCGAAGGATATGACAGCTGTTAATGCGGTAAGAGTTATACACTTGTTTCAGCTTTTGTAATATAATATTTTAATGACACTCAAGCCAAGTAGAAAAATAAATAATAAGATTGGTGGGCATGCAACTGGCTATTTATGTGACACTTGAATCAATCTTGCTAGATTCCATAGTAAAAGTATTATTTTTCTTCTGTCAGTGGATTCCTTTTACTCGAAGGTAAATGACTTCAAACTTCAGATCTTATGCGATCCACATCTAAACGACTATCTGTTCAAATTACACTTTTTGCTTTGGTTAGTCACCGAGCCATTATATTGTTTGCATTCTTTTTCTATATGTCTCTATACCTATTTATTTGTCTTTCGTATTTTTTATTCTTGGTCAAAACTCCAGTGCCTTTCTGTGGGAAATTGCCTTTCATAAACCCTGATCATGTTTTCATCTTTATCGTTTGGCATTAGCTACTGAAAGCTTGTTATTAAAATTAAATTTTGCAAAGAAATGAAATGTACATTGCTCAACAGACCACCTTGCTAGCTAATTTGAGTATAGTTTTGCCTTGGACTGTGAAGAAAGAATAGAGGTAATCGCCGATTCTGGATCTGGACGCGGCTGTGTCGACAAATTTGTGTGGCGACGGAAAAAATTAAAGTCAAGGATGACTTCACTAAGATGTTTGATATCAGGGCGAATCGCTTAGCCCTTTGGTTTTCTACCTCATTTTTGCGGACATTGATGACTTCTTTTCTTCATTAAGTTTTCCAGGACTCTTTATTGATGTGTTTGATGGCATCAACCTATAACCTACGCAAACTTAGTAGCTGAATCAGGGACTGAATTATCTTATAATCAATGCTCAAAGAACTATAGATATGTGCATTAGTAATTCCCCTTCGGCAACCCAGCCAAAACTCCTCTTGAGTGATTCAAGGCTTAATGTGGTCAACGAGTTTAGTTAGCTTTCTCTTTGTTAACAGAAATGGCCGACCCACAAGTTTCCAAAGCGAGCCAGCCAGAACACCACTGTCTATGCTGAGAAATATTAAGCTCACCTCTTGGGACGCACTATAAAAAATATATAAAACAACTATATTAAAAATAATTTCCGGATGTCCTCTAGTCTGGGGCATGCGTTATCCCGACATACTTGAGTGAATACGGGCCAAGTTTTTAAACAGATTATTGTTGCTTCCTAAATGAACTTTAAGCGCTTTACTTCGCCTTGAAATATGCACACTTCTTAGTTTACTAAATGAAACCTTCAAATCCTGCTTCACGTTTCTTGTGAAAGTGTTAAAAATCGGGGAGAAACGTCAATTCGATTGAAATACAACTGAACAAGCCAAATTAGAGAGGTGTTTTGTGAGTTGGGTTATGGTGAATATTACAATAAAAACTTGTTCAAGCAGATATTAACATTGCAATCAAGGTTTGCACCAGATCAGATGTGCTCCGTTGGAAATAATGTACCACCTTCTATACACTTGCTGGTGGAGTTTTCCAATGATAATGATTTTATCACCGATTTAATAAATTTGGATTCAGGGCAAAAAGACCTGCTTAACTCATTAGAAAGATATTATAGAAACGAGTAAAAATAAAACTAATTTTGTAATACTTATACATTACACATGTTGATAGTTTCTATTCACAAACCTTCTTCGGAGCTTAATTGAAACCGGCTAGCATTCTACTCCTTAACTGCTTGTATAATGTGTGAGGGGGGCGGAGCTAAAGGAGGGGATGAATATTGTCTCGGATGACATTGATGAAAGGTAAAGACCTGAGTCACGGTTAAGATTGTTAGGTTGCTGGTATATTCCTCGGATGTTTCTTTGATAGAAGAACTTGATATCCTGTCTCATGATTATGTTCGGCAACTGCTGTTGATATTTGTTGTAGTCTCATAGCTGTCTCAGATTCTGTGAGGCTGATTGATATATTTCGTCCTATCTCTCTTCATCGCATATGCATGGAATGCTGTAAAATGACGGATCGGAAGGATGTGAAGTGAATCTTTGGTTTTAACGTTATTTTCCTTAAGAACTTTTAATATGTGGTCAGTGATGGTTTAGATGTAAAGAAGCACAGCAGTGGCAAGTGTGGGGTTACTTTCGGGGTTGGATGGGTATAGTGGAATGCTTAATATCTCTATTGTGGAAACTATTGGAAAAAATAGCAGATGTAAAGTGACTCGGGTTGAAATAGTTTTACGATTCAGTAAACAAGAGAGAGAGATGTGACAATACATTAAGGTATGTGTGCGTATTGGTAAGAATATCTAAGAATGGGAGATTATTAGTTTCAAGTTCTATGGTGAAATCTATGTTAGGGTGTATACAGTTTCAATGGCTAAAATCTCGGGGAGACTCTTGGTCATGAGGCCAAATAACAAAAAATTTTGATTTTGGCTCGTTCGGTACGTGACGAGGGACACTTGTTCCCGACGGTTGTTGAACATTACAAAAAAAAAAAAAATTAAATTAAGATGAGAATGGCTTGGTTCCAGATTCTCAGACTTTAATATATCTGAAATAATGTTGTGGAAGTTTCTTTGCAAAATATTGATAGATGTTTCGGTATTTGTTTTTTTTTTTTGGGTTTATAGTAAAAGCGGATGCAGATTTCTTGTTGTAGAAATGAAATTTCTTGTAAACAGTTAATAATTAAATTGAAGTGATTTGAATTCAGTATAGTTTCGCTCTTTTTATCATTTGTTCGTTAAAATCAAGTTGCCGTGACTGTAAAATACGATGTCTGGTAACCAGTAGACAATTATAAAACGTGCGGGAACCCAGACCGCGATCCCGCCCCGCCCACCCCTTCGGGTCGATTAGAACGCGGTGATATTTTTAAATCTGGCAATTAAAATTAATTAAAAAACGCGAAAAGCGCGACAATTTTTCCGTCCGTATCTGCAGGGCATTTATTTCAATAATGCCCGAGTAACAAAAATATAACATATATGTACGTGCACTCGTATTTTAATGTCGCGTTAAAAATAAAACGAAAACATTTTTGTTATTAAAATGTAAATGCCTCTCAAATTATATCGCGGCTGTGCTATGCCGTTCGGTGCCAGTGGGGGTTCAAAATATGTGCATATTGTTTTTTTTCCAAAAAAATTAAATTGGATGTTACCTGTCGACCTTTTTTTATCCAAGGAATTGCTCATTTATGATAATGTAATTAATCATTATGGGTATTTAACCATAATGAATACAGACGTCCAACTATAAGGGACCGCACAATTCATTCATGAAATTGCTGCTGTTGTGATAACGACATATCGAGCGGAATATAAGAAATCACATTTAAATTTTTAAGTGCCCAAATATTGGTTCCTCTGTACATTTTGTAGCCAAGGTTGAATAAATTTTAAACCATATTATTTAAGTATATTATTTATTTTGTTGAACTTCAGAATATATCACATGAGTTAAAAAATAAAAAAAAACTTACTAAAAAATACTGGTGCGTAAACGAACCACTGGGAAAAAACTTTAAATGATGTTTTGGGGCACATAAGATGCAACATATAATTTATACATAAATATACAAAAGAAAGTTCAAATTCGACAGAAAACAACTAAAAGTAGATTGCTTTCCAAATAGAGCCTGATTTGATACAAAAAAACGCATAATATTTTATGGTGCGTGAACCCACCACTGGTAACACCCGGTGAAGTATGTAAATGTACATTACACTTATTACAAACGTATATTGTGTGGCTGTGGCAGATTCTACATTATTAATATGAACAATCATGAAATGACCTCGATTATCAAAATGCACTTCATCTGGAAGGTGCAAGATTTCTTCAATCTTTCTTTTATCAGTTTTTAAAAGCCGCAAGGCGAGCACTTCGTCATCAAAAAGCATAAAACATATTTCAAGCGGAGTTTTTCCAGAAAGTCTATTTTTTTCGTTCCCCACATGATCTAAATTCATCGGATATAGGTGTGAGTGTACTCCATCTGACCTTTCTTCCATTTAACAGCAGAAGCAAGCCTGTCGTTTGAATTCATTATTTGATGAGTCCCATTCAGGTTCAGTAGTTGAAGAATTATAGGACTGTTGAAGGACAGCTGTATCATTCGGTATATATAACTCGAAAGTTCCAACTATATCAGTTGGTTCCCCAAACTCTTGTAGATTTATATTATCGTTCATATCTTCTTCGTCAGTCAAAGTATCCACGTCGGGTGAAATATAGACCCCGTCAATATGTTCCGTAAATATTTTTTCACGTTATTTTTAGCATAAATTTACAAGGAATGGAATGCTACAATACATAAGAATACTTAAATCCAAATAATACTTTACGAACTGTAACGTTCACTGCACAAGTCACAAACTGTGGATTCACGCACCAGCAAATATTTTCAAAAAATAATGCATAATCGATATAGTATTTCCAATGTATGTTTTCTGCGACTAGACTTAACAAAAATGGCAATACAAATCCAAAATATTTTTTCTTACTATTTTGAACTGACTTATCTTTCCTTTACACATAAATTAGCGGTTTCTGCTGTTTTATGTCCTTTAGATTATAATAAAATTTCTAAATGGATGTGCAAAAATATTTCCTGGATGTGACAAAAAAAAATCATAGTCTTCATTGTGTATTTTCCAAACAAGACAATTTCGATAAACAAAGGCTTGAAAAAAAAAGCCGCGTCGCTTTCATTGTTCTTAAATAAACATTTAAAATCTTCAGTAATATTATCTACAACAAAATTTTAATTGGTCATGTTTTGGGGCGCTGGGTCTACTTCACCGAGACATGCCTCCTAAGAAAACGAAAAAGAAGAAGGAATTTCGCCCCGTCGCTCACCGAACCAAAAATAGAAACGCGAAAATTTCGATTTTCCGCTTGTCGATAAAAAGGTTCGTGGTCTCCGATCGTCATCGGACACAGACCGCCGACCGAACAACACTCTGTGTGTAGTGAACGAGAATCCGCATTCACACGTAAACACTCAAAACCACTTCGGGATCCGACCGATACATTCGCGTTCCA